TAATATATATTTTTACTAACCATATATATTATTAAAAATATGAATAATAACTAAAAACTTACTGCATTGTGGTTACATGGACATCTTGACATTCAGGAACGTTGAGAGCATCGCCAAATAATTGTAGTAATTGAATTTTGATTTTACCGATGGATGATATAACACGTGCATTAGCATGACGTACAATATTTCTAAATTATATTAAAGCTAGAAAACGAAAATTTGTATAATATAAAAGTTAATCAATATATAAAACATTACTGTACTTATATTATGACATGAATTTCAAACTTACCAACTCGGAGAACTCGATAATATTTGAACAAAAAAACTGGCACACAAGAAACTGAACTATGATCATAGTTTAAAGCGGAGGTGACCTTAAAATATAAAAATTTAGTACTTGTTTCTGTAAAATACGCGTAAAACAATAATGTCAAGTTTTAATATAAAGATTGTGTAGTGTTTAATAATCTGTAATTACCTCCATTATTTTATAAAAACAATGCAACTTGATAGATTTTTTTCGTCATCCTAATTAAAAATTTTAGAGAAATTTTGATTTAATTATCATTTCGTGTAATCCAATTTGTATGACATAATATTTCTTTTTGTGCTTTAAGTTTTATTATTAATAACAACTTTCACAAAGTAAATAAAGATTATTAAAATTTCGCCAAAAAGTTGTACTGTATGTTTGATATAATTGGTCAATGAATTGCGAATTAACAATTAATGTTTTGTTTTTAAAGTTTATTAAAAAGCATTAATTTTATTACAACTCTAAGCATTAAGTATACCGTTGCAGATTATAAAATTTTCAATATATTTTGAAAGTTGTGTAGTTATAAGCATATGAATAGCATCAAGTGAATAAACAAATTCGGTAGAAATGCTACTCTTTGTTTAATACTATTTACTGGGCCAGATGTTCAGGATATATAATATTAATGGATTGCAGATAAATTTTGACTTGCCTCTTGTTCGGTCTTCAATATGGCCAAACTATTAGCAAATCTAGTGCATAATAAAGAAAACCATTATTCAATTTTAAGGCCTGGACGTTTTTGATGATGAGGCATACGGTAATCCGGGCTTTAGTAATCTGCGGTCTTTTGGTAAGTTCGTGATAATACCTCTTAATACGCATCTATGTAATACTATAAATTTAGAAAAAGCATTTCATTACAAAAAAAAAAAATAAAAAATCAATAAAAAAATAAACTTACTTTAAATTTTTTGACGATTTCAACAATCTTTTCTATCTGTAAGAAACATGATCCAGAATCCGGCAAAACAAATATATTGTATTCATCAACCATATACACATTGTTGATTAGACGCATACACAAGAAATGAAACTCCCGTCCTATTTAAAATCAAATAATTCAGCAAGTTTTTGATAGAAAAAAATATACAAGATATGTAGATACTTACCGAAAACGAGAATTGCGAATGATTGCAATTTCTTGGGTACGTTGATCTGTTGATGTGCGTCTTGATACCATAATGAAATCATCATAGCTATAATGAATATAAAAATGCTGATATAATTAGGTGTCGAATATAGTCAAATAAACATAATTTATTATCACCTTTCAATAATTTTTCTAAATCGCTATTTTTATCCAACATATTGGAAGCAAACGCATTGCCCACAACTTCCATATAACCAACGCTAACTTTAATGCTATTCAAATTGTAATAAAAGATTTCATCTTGTTTATCTCCCAGTCTTTCTCTGTCACCTTCTTTTTTGGAAAAATTTATTTGTCTTTTCCTTGTGTCATTTTCTATTTCACCCCTAATTTGATGTTGATTATATATTGAATCATGTTGGATAAATTATAGTTTTTATAAAAAAACACTTACGTCTGAATCCAAATAGCAGTTTCAATATCATGAAAAATAGATGCTAACAGAATATTTACAATTTCCTCACGATATTGATATTTACTTATAGTATTATCATATATAGAGCTATACTTTCGTATCATTTGTAAAATTCTAATATAAAAGACAAATCTGTATTATTTATAGTAACAATAAACAGATAACAATAAATATTACAAAAATTTGAAATTTTACATCTGTATATAAAAGTTATGATACCAAAAAGTTTCATAATCTTCTGGGTGATTATAATTTTCACGTTTTTGTTTCATTAAATCCGTTAGAAGAGCTTTGAAGTCCACATTAAATGAGTAATCATCTACGTGGTTCTTAATAATTTCTGTATAACGATTAACCAAAGGTTTGAGTTGAGAGGAATCCCAAAGACTTTCTATTAAATCCACTTCTTCCGCCTTAATATTAAGTAGTTAGAACATTTATAATTTTAAGTATATACCAATACAACAAACATATATAGCTTACTTGTGCCTATTTGGTTCTAAACATGTTAACCTGGTTCACTGACAATATTTTAAAAATTTTTTTGTATATGGAAATTCGACGTCAAATAGACATAAAATATCATAATTTTCCAAATCAGAACTCGTCTTTAAATTGTTTGAAATCTAAATGATGGGTGACATAAGTACATACATTATCAACAATATATGCAGCAGCCAAAATTATGGGCCGGAAATCATCGGGTTTAGAAATTAATCAAATGCCAATCGATGTTGTAATTTTCATAATATAATTACACTCAGACTCTCATTATAGTTTATCGAACTCGATCTTTAAAAAATCTAATAGACTGAAATGACAGCTTCTGTATAATAATATCGATATTTATATCTTGACTTGTAGAACCCTGATTCTTGATGACTGATGCTTATTGCTGACATTCCTAACCTATAACAAAAATTTAAAAAAAAAAAAAAAGGTAGCTAATGAAAATTCATAACAATATTCATTAAGTAGTATATTTGTCAAGTGCGTAGCAAATGTAAGTTTCTTTAAAAAGAGCTTAAGTGATTCCTCTTTGAGAATCAATAGACTTTTTAAAAGAAACTTCTTTAGGTTGTATATCTTTACGGCTCAGAATGATTTACACCACCTAAGTTCTAATGACGGTGGCCTCACAAAGAAACTATTCTTTGTGGTATCAGAACCATTGATTCAAATAGAACTGGTAACCACCTTTATACCATAGTGGCAGTCTGTACTTAGTTACGTGGCTTTAATGTAAATCAAACTGTAACATTTTTACAAATTGTTCATAAACAATGACACTCTTTCACTGTATCGAAACAAATTGCTCAAGTGCCTCGGAAAGATTCTAAAGGAAAGAGATTTGACTACGTACTATACTATAAACCTACTTCATAATTAATTCTTCGTAAATATGGCATTTTGTATGTAGTTTAAGACGAAGTAATAGGTTTAAAGATGTAAACAAGTGATGTAAACAATTTAACAAATTCTTATGTCGATCATGTAGCCGAACAGCAAATCAGATTTCAAGATCAGGTGTAACATAACACAGTCATGAAATTTCAAAACAACCGTTCGTTTTGTCAAAAATCGCTTATTAATCAAAAGTTTGCATAAAAAGCTACCTTTAGTGCACTAACAAAAAGGTCTTCTTGAATGATTTTACTATAACTACCTGACCTCTAACCAACTCTAACCCTAACCCTAACCCCAACATTAATACTGTAGTAATAAATATGGTAAAAGTATATATACAGAGTTTGGGTCTATTATATTTTACAAATTATAAACCATTTAATGGTTTTTAAATATAATATTTAGAAAGTTATAACTGCAAATCACAAATTAGATCCAAATGCAAATGATAGTTCTTTATTAATCACTAGGCTGTCTATTGCAAATACAAAAAATTCTACTATTGAAAGGAATCTTATACATTTTACAGTAAGTATTAATCCGATATATATTTTAATATTGAATTTGTTTACATATACATTTGATTCTTGCATTTTGTTATACCAAATATTCCCACTAATTAAAATCTTATTACTTAATTAAATCA